AGGGTGCAAAAAAATCGAAATATTGAGAAAATCATCTTTAAAGTTGTCCAAATTAAGTTCTTAGCAATACATATTACTAATCAAAAATTAAGTTTTGATATATTTACGGTAGGACATTTACAAAATATCTTCATGGAACATGATCTTTACTTAATATCCTAATGATTTTTGGCATAAAAGAAAAATCAATAATTTTGACCCATACAATGTATTGTTGGCTATTGCTACAAATATACCCCAGCGACTTAACACTGCTTTTGTGCTGCAGGCTCACATATAGGATATGATTTTGCCTTCATATTGCCTGCATCTTTTCTGCAAAGTTTACACCATGTCGAGCACTTCATGTGTGCTGCACTTGGAATCAAACCGTCTTTAACCAGCAGGTTACTAAAGAGAATGTTACTTGAATCGTGTTGCAGTTATGTTTTTAAGTCAACTAGTTAAATGTTGAAAATTCTATTAGGTTTTATTTCCTGCCATATCTGTCGGTGGAGTCCATCTCTGAAATGCTCGAAAGGTATTTTTAGACTCCAGATGTTTCTCTTTAAGACTTTGGGAGGAAAGCCGCTTGCGTTCCTGATGGATTCATGCTCGTTTATGTCGCCCGGAGACTGAAAACAAACCTGTGAGCCAATATTTCACCAGGAGACGCTTGGCACAGTCCTTCTGATGAAATGGATGCCTGTTTTCATCAACATCAGAGAGGCAGACGGTTTTATTTGATTAAATGCACGCCCTCCACAGCACCTTCAAGAGTTAGGAAAGTCGTATTTCATGCAAGTTCTGCAAAATGGATCTTTCTGGAATACAAACCAAATCTAAATGGCTTTAGAGTCTTTGGTCCAGCTGTTCACGTTCCTGGAGGAATGAGCTCATGATTTCTGCGTCTCCAGCGCCGCACAGAAACCGTGACCAGCAGCACATGTTTTGAGTTTAGTTTCCCTCAACGCTGACCTACATTCATCACGGGGGGCCTTTACAGAGTCAAGAACTAAAGACTCGAGCTTATGAGAGTTTACCTGATCAGATGCTCATGAATGAGTTCATGATGTTATGTAGGACATAGACTTATAACATATTGTTCTTCAACAGTGCCTTTTTTTTAGTCTGAACATGATTATTTTTACTTGACTAAAGAAATATATATTTTTTAAAATGACAAAAACAAAATAATTAAAAATTCACCTAAAATTTAAATGAAAACATAAAAAATTTTTTTTTTTTTAATATTTTATAAAGTTTCAAAAGTCTTTGTGCTGTAAACAAATACTGAAATAGAATTTGTACTTGATTTAATGATGAAACTGTCTCTAAAATAAGAGAACACGCATTTCCTTTCTGTAGATTTTATTTTTCATGCACATGATATTGTTTCTCGTCTTCTGATTGTTTTTAAATTCTATTTCTAATAGCAGAACTTTATAAAATAGAAAAAAAAAGTGATTTTTTTTTCATTTAAATTTTAGGTAATTTTTAATGATTTTGTTGTTTTTGTCATTTCTTTTTTTAAATATGTCTTTTTAGTTTATTTTAGTACATCAAAATGAGTTTTTTTTCCCATTGTATTTTCTTTCAGTTAAATTTCATACAATGAAAATGTTATTTTAAGGTTTTAGTTTTAGAACCCTAACCCAATAATAACCCTGAATATAACTAGTCTGTCGACTCTAAAACGAGTGAAAAACCTGCAACAAAGTAACGTTTTAACAGATGATTTTGTGCCTGAAACGCTTGTTTGTGAGGTGATTAAAGCGACAGTACAGCCAGATGTTTGCGCTGTGTCTCGGGGCATTTGTTGCGTGCTGGATTGAGGGAAATGTTTGTTTAAACTAAAGCAGCGGTGTTGGGAATGCTGTTGTGGTCATTAGCCACATCTGGAAGTGCTTTTCCTGAATTAAACGCGTTTCTGTGTGTCTCAAAGTCTGAATGGGTAGAGACGAGCTTTAGGAAGAGCTGTAAACTGAGAAGACAATGGACATTAATGACATGAGGAGGAGAGAGAGAGAGAGGTCAGGAAGAGCGACCGGTGGGCGGAGACACACACACACACACACACACACACACACACTCTCTCTCCGTCAGTGAGGGTCGTCTCGTCTGGTTCTCGTCCTGATGTCGTTCTACAGAAAGCGCTGAGAGGTACGTGTGCTGTATCCAGTCCCAACAGGACCTGATGGAGAACACCCACGCGCTCCTCAAGCTCTCTGGAGATCCTCTGTGTTTTTGTGTGGATTTATGGAGTTTGTACAGGATCTGATTGACGCCGTCAGCTGGTTTAGTTCTGCTTTCATTCGGACGTCTCGTGTCTTTTGGAGGTTGATCGTTTGTGTTTCCAAATCCTGATTGGTGTCCAGTGTTCCTCTGAACACACACCGTGAGTCTGAAGATGCTTCTGTTCTGCTTCAGTGTCTCATTTGTAATTGTATTATCAGAATCGCTGATATTTATAACAATTTGCATTGTTTTCTCATGTGCATGAATGGGTAAATATGGCGATGTTTCAGAATAACACACACTGACAGCTTTGTGTGTTTTGCGTGTCCTCCAGATATTGTCGTCATGATTCGTTCATCTGTTTGGTCTGGTTCAGAACGAGCAGGTTACCCATCAGGCCGTGCAGTTAACCGCTCTTTGTTTTGAAGGAATATCCCGGGTTAAACTCAGGTTAAGTTCTGTCTAACTCTACAGTGATTGACTGCTGTTGTATATGGATCTAACATGATGTTTTCTCAGCGTTTACACCTGAGATTTGCTTATTTTCTGTGCTAATCAAAGAGCATCAAGTCAACTTCAGTCGTATTTCATCTTTTCAAACACACAAAAGCAAAAGGAGCAATTCTGAGTCATGTTTGAAATGTTTTAAGGTCTTTATGGTTGAATTTCGTGTTCATTGACTCTAAGTGTATAAAAAAATTGCTGAAGAGTGAAAGATATTTGAAAAGTAAAAAAGCGTGGTCTTAATTTTTTATATATTTATATTATTTTACATAATATAAATATAATATATAAAAATAATATATTGTCACGTTATTATCTTAATCTTAATTTTATATCTATCTATATATATCTATATATATGTATATATATATATATATATCAAAACCTGACTTGTTCTTAATTTTATATATATCTATATATATATATATATATATATATATATATATATATATATATACGAAGAGTTCATTTGCAAAAACAGAACTCAGTTTTTAACTTCTCAGAAATCATGTGATTTTATTGTGCATTCCAATTAATCTCAATCAAACTGCAGTTGGGTTATTTTGACTAGGAAAAAAAAAACAGCTGACTAACACAATAAAACATGATAAAAAACATGATTTTTGAAAATTAAAAAAAACTTGAGTTATCTGTTTTTGCAAATAAACTCTTCATATATATATATATTAGTATTATATTACTTGTTTGTAACGTGACCTTGGGTTTTGGAAAGGTGCTATAAAAATGACATAGTTTATTATTATTATTATTACTATTAAGTAAATAGTTTGAGTTGTTTGTCAAGCATTTAATAAATAAAGAGTTGCGTTTTACCTGGAATATTCCTTTAATGTCAGGAACAGTTTTATTAAAATCAGCAATAATCAGATCATTAATGTTTAGTTTTTTTTGCGTTGTCCTGAAGATCTGTGTTCATGTTGACTCAAATCAGACTCTTGAGCTGAAAGGGAGACAGATTTGTGATCCTGCCGTTCCTCGCGCTGATGGAATGCATGAAGGTTGTTTTGTGATGTTTTTCCAGCTGAAAATTGCGTTTCCATTGAAGGCTTGATGTGTGTAAACTGAGGCAGGGACGTTTGGAGGCAATTAAGCTCTTCATGTAAGTTAACACAATTCAGGCTCCATCATGTGCAGCGCTGATCGATAACTTCCTCTAAATGACGCAGGTCCACTTCCTGCCCATCATCTTCATCATCAGCTCCTGCAGCTTATCAATATTTAATAGAAACCCAGAGAGACGAAGCTCATACGAGCGTCCTGTCTGTTTCAGATCTCCCTCGGTTTAGAGCATCTCTACATGTTCTTCTCCTTCACTTGGACTGAATGGTTTCTTTATGGAAGAGATGAGCTGATGGCTGATGGTTCTCCCGTCGTTCAGCTCTGTTAGCGAGAGCTCTTTTCTCCAGCAGCTGAAAGAGAAGCTGTTTCTCTAGTACTGTAGTCTCTCACTGAACATGCTGGTGTGTTATGAATTATGTCTTTAATAGGGTTTAATATTTTGTGAGCAAATGTAGCACGACCCCGATCAAATCATGTTTCCTCACATCAGATTCTGACTCGTATTAGATCTGGTTTATTCACACGAGGATGGCGTGTTGAGATCATGTGACCGGCTGAATAAAGCGTGTTTCATCTCAGTAACTGTCCTGTTATCAGATGCTTTGAGGAATAAATCAGTCGTAGGTGACGACTCCACGTGAAACGGGATGTTTGTACAGTGACTTTAAGCTTTTTATGAGACATCAGTATTGATATTTTCTCTTATATTTTGCATTATTCTTTTTTGTTCAGCTTTTCTTTTTTCCTTTTTGTCCTTTCTTCTTTTTTCCCCTTTTTTTCCTTTTCTTCTTTCTTTTTCCTTTTCATTTTTGTCCTTCTTTTCCACTTTTATTTTCTCTTTTCTTGTTTCCTTATTTTTCTTTTCCATCACTTGCTTTTCTTTTTTTCCCTTTCCTTTTCCCATTCCTCTCTTTTCTTGTTTGAACCTTTTTTTGTTTTCAATCTTTTCCCTTCTTCTTCTTTTGTCCCTTTTCTCTTTTTCCTTCTTTTCATCCTTTGTTCTTTTTCCTCCTCTCTGCCTCCTCCTTCTTTTAGTTTGGTTTTTCGTGAGGCTTCGCTGTAAATCTGGAAGTTTGAGTCTGATCTGAGTGAACGACAGCATGTATGTTCTCCTCGTTCAGGTCTGTGTGTGTGTGTGTGTGTGTTGGGTTTGCGTGTCAGTACCATGTGCAGATGTGCTCAGATGTGTGTTTCTGCAGGAAAGCGCAGTATCAGCGGATAGGCAGCATGAGTTTGGAGCGGGACTCCATGGAGGACTACTGGAGTGAGATGAAGAGCATCGATGAGGAGCGTCAGGGAGGACCGGAGGAGCTGATGGAGCGAGCCAGCGTGGACGGTGCGTACGGATCATCATACAACTTTAGAATTATCATTCTAGTTCATGTCTCTGGTGTGAAGGAGTCTAATAGAGTGTGTTTGATGTTTCAGAGGCGGAGCTTGAGGAGGCGTGGCTGCAGGAGGCGGGGCTCTCCACGCTGGTGACGGGAACACAGAGCGACGGCCCGGCGGAGGCTCTCCTCTCCACGCTCACGCGCTCACAGGCCGCCATGGTGAAGAAACGGCTGGATAACTACACGCAGACGCTGCGAAAGAGGAACAGGCAGCCCATGAGACACGTGCGAGACGTCTTCTCCATGTCCGACGCGTCGGTGAGCGCAAAACGGTTTTCATTTCCGTTTCAAATCAGACGATCGTGCAGCAGATCTGCAGGTGTGGTCTTGTTTCTAGTGTTAATTTCGTTAACGAAATCTATGACGAAAAATGTTCGTCAATGAAGTTTTTTCCCCTGACGATAACTGAGACTAAATGAACATGCAATATTGTTGACAAAAAAAGAAGAGACTAAAACGTAGTTAAAAGAGCAAAAGCTTTACCAAAACCTTTTTATTCTTGTTGGAAAAAGTGGAGCCAAAACATTTCAGACTGCTGTACAAGACTCTATTACGTGAGCGTTCATGTTTGCGGTTGCCAGATATCTAGAGCTCAAATCCTCCAATCAGAGCTTTTCTGTTAAATGGATACGCATTCTTCCCGGCTTTTAGCTTTATGCAATCTGGCAACCATTCACACGCGCTCTCTCTGTGATCTAAAACACTGACATACAGTACTGTACGAGTAAGCTGGAGTTCAGCGATCTCCGTTTCAGATGTTCTGCTTAGATGAAAGTGTCATTCAGCAGTCTGTGCTCTGTCATGGATCTCGACTATATTGTTTGCGGATTGTAACGTTACTTACGCTGTCACGGTTGCACTACTGAGTGGAGTGCGGAGCAAGGAACGGAAGGAGACGAGGAGTACATCAACAGGAAACGAACCAAATATGGGCATAAACACTGGGACACAGGGAGCACATGGGGAACAAAACACAACACAAGCCTGACATACGCAACCTCTGTGCAGCGATAAGTCTTTTTTTTGCTGTGGTTTTAAAAGAGAAACATTAATGCAATTTGGAATTATTGGAATTACTATTAGGAATTTCTCTGTTATAATATGTGACCCTGGAGCACAAAACCAGTCATAAGGGTCAATTTTTCAAAATTGAGATTTATGCATCATCTGAGAGCTGAATAAATAAGCTTTCCATTTTGACTGAGATACAACTATTTGAAAATCTGGAATCTGAGGGTGCAAAAAAATCTAAATATTGAGAAAATCATCTTTAAAGTTGTCCAAATGAAGTTCTTAGCAATGCATATTACTAATCAAAAATTAAGTTTTTATATATTTACGGAAGGACATTTACAAAATATCTTCATGAAACATGATCTTTACTTAATATCCTAATGATTTTTGGCATAAAAGAAAAATCAATAATTTTGACCCATACAATGTATTTTTTGGCTATTGCTACAAATATACCCCAGCGACTTAAGACTGCAGGGTCACAAATGATAAAGACTAAAAGTTACATTTGACACAGGACTAAGACTAAATTAAAACTAGCTGACAAAATGAACACTACTTGTTTCACAGGCGTGTCGATTGGCTGTTGTGCAGCTGCTGCGGCCGTTTGTTCGGCGTGTGAATGCCTCTCAAAATAACCGTCACACTGACTGAGACTGGAATGAGCAGCGACCAGACGCGTTTAAAATTAGCCTCATGACAGCAGATGAGACCACAAAAACCTTAATTCATTCCTGCTGACACACATCTGAGTTTGGATTCTTTCCTCGCAAACGTCAAGATGACATGAATGTATTGAGATGTGGGCGTGGCTCCCAAAAGTCTATGCAAATGAACGTGAGCTGCAGGGGTGGAGTTTAAGAACACTAAATGATTGGCACACCACAAACTATTTGAACATCAGCTTTAATGTTGGCATGAAATGAAAATTCACTCTATTTTCTTAATGCATGCAATTACATTTTTTACATTACATTCAAAAAAATTTTTTTGAGCTTGTAATGCTTAATCAAAACACCGAAAGATCCAGTTATGATATTTTGGATTAAACATTACGGGCTTAAAACATAAAAAAAATAAACATGCATGAATAAATTGCAAGCGTTTAGAAAATAAGAGTGAATTTTAATTTCATGCCGACTTTAAAGCTGATGTTCAAAGAGTGTGTCATTTGTAGCTCAGATAGTAAATCGTGCTAGCTTGCAACAAGGTTGCGAGTTCGATTCCCAGATAACACGTTTATCTTGAGTGCAATGTAAATCACATGCATGAGTGCAACTAATGATTATCTGTTTGACTGAGCAATGGCAGCATGTTCGACTGAACAGAGAGTGTATGGAGCTGTTTTAAATGCTGTGGAGACTGTTCGGTTTAGAGGACGTGTGGTCAGTAAGCGGTCAGACAGACAGCAGCACACAGGCGTTTGTTTGGAGGCTGAATCAGTCATGAGTCACGCTCAGCTGCTCCGACAGCTGAAATATCTGATCCTCTGATTGGATATGAAGGACAGACTCACTGGACCGAAATAGTCCAACAAATGTCCAGTGTTCAGCAGGACATCGTCTATATAGACATTAATACACATGTATTAACACATGCTGAGATGATTTATATCTGACATGTGATGACCTTGATTTGTACATTTGAGTGATTCTAAACTGATTACTGATTAATTGTCTGATCGTGGTTATTGATCCAACCACAATTATTTGAGATAAATTTGAGTTTAAATTTCAATCACGTTTTGCATTCCTACAAAGGAAACGTAAGCGTTTAAAGAAATGCCATCAAAGAATAAAAAACCAAATAAACACGGGCTTCCTTCATACGAAATGAAAAGACTGCATTATATTAGATTATTTGACATTTTATATAATTATATAAGCAATTTTCACAGCATTTATGTAAGTATTGACCTATTTTATTATCATTTTTTATTATATGTGACCCTGGACCACAAAACCAGTCATAAGGGTCAATTTTTTGAAATTGAGATTTATGCATCATCTGAAGCTGAATAAATAAGCTTTCCATTGATGTGTGCTTTGTTAGGATAGGACAATATTTGGCTGAGATACAACTATTTGAAAATCTGGAATCTGAGGGTGCAAAAAAATCAAAATATTGAGAAAATCATCTTTAAAGTTGTCCAAATGAAGTTCTTAGCAATGCATATTACTAATCAAACATTAAGTTTTGATATATTTACGGTAGGACATTTACAAAATATCTTCATGGAACATGATATTTACTTAATATCCTAATGATTTTTGGCATAAAAGAAAAATCTATAATTTTGACCCATACAATGTATTGTTGTCTATTGCTACAAATATACCCCAGCGACTTAAGACTGCTTTTGTGCTCCAGGGACAAAAAAAAAAACGTATTAGGCTTGCATTGTAAGTGCCGAACAAAACAGAATTAAATAGTTAATAGCAGTTATTTGTAATGCAATTAATTGCACTGCCATTTGCAGTGGTGCATGTTGATTTCAGTGTCGAATTCCTCAGAAATGTTGTTTTTGTGGTCTATAAACTCACACAGATGGAGCAGGAATGTGTTTACCTCATGAATCCGTGTGTGATGATGTGATTTTGTTCTCTTGCAGTCTGAACTGACGCCTCCAGTTTCTCCAAACGGACAGATTGCTCCTAAACTGCCGCAGTGGAATCCACCTAAAGGTTGGACAACGTTTTTAGATTATACATTTACTTTAACATGCATTCATTTAGCCGACGCACAAAAGAGGAACATCATAAGAGACACAATGTTTACTGTACATGAGTCAAATATAAGATAGATTAGTACACAAAAAGAAGAAACGCAGAAAAGAGAAGAACAGGATTATTGTTTATTGTTTAAATGGGAGTTGTTATGGTTTTGGTTTCGATCAGAGCTCATGGAAATATCATTATCATTGGTGATTAAGGTCTTAGTCCTAGGCTTAGTTATTGTTTGGTTTGGTTTATATGTGTGTTCAGTTCCTCCGTCGTGTGCAGCGGACACTAACGACTCCAGCAGCGCTTCAGAGACCATCCTTCTGTCGTTTGATGTGCCGTATTCAGAAGTGGCTCGAGCTCATCGGAAAGGCCGGGAATGCCAAGACTGCAGGAGGATCCGTAAAGACGACAGGGATTTACCGGTGCGTTTGATGATCTGTCATAATGTCTTAAATGTGTGTTTTTCAAACTGATTCTACAAGTTACTTCCCATCAAATTTAGAGTTTTATGTTTAGTTCATGTTTGTAACTTTGGTTGGTAAAATGTTTTGATGTTTTTGGAAAGAATGCTCAGCAAGTCTGGATTTATTTGATAAAAAATACAGTAAAATTGCGAAAATGTTTTACAATTGAAAATAGCTGTTCTCTCTGTGAATCTCTGTTAAACTGTAATTTATTTCTGTGATCAAAGCTGAATTTTCTGCATCATAACTCCAGTCTTCAGTGTCACATGATCCTTCAGAAATCATTGTGCTGTTTTCCTGCATTATAAATGTCTTAACTGTCACTTTTGATCAATTTTACTTATTCTTGCTGAATAGAAGTATTAATTTCTGTCAAAAGAAAAAAAATCTTGTGAACACAGGAAAGAAAATTGTCCAGCTATCTCATGGGGTCTACATAATGCACCTTTTACTGGCAGTGTTTGTTGTTCTGTTGCTTGAAACAAAAAAAGCAGCATTTACTGAAAGCATCTTCCCTGGATAGCGAGCTCAGATCAGATGCTGCCGTCTAATGCGGTTTGTGGTCTGTTCTTCAGAGTTTTCAGATAGTGAGGCCCAGACAGGGCGTGACGCGAGTGAGCGATCTATCGTCTGAGGACATCAAGAAGATCGGCTACATCTCCCTGATCGAGCTGGCCACATTCTACGACTTCATGGGCATCGAGATGAAGAGGAACCGCGTGGTGCGCAGTAAAGCACGGGGTGCGTGTCGCTCACATCCAGACTCTGCGGAAAACTGGCTTTAAACAATGTTGTTTTGTTCCCACAGACAGCAGGATACTATTACTACTGTAAATATCCAAAACATGGTGTCAACACAGTAAATGTCCATAACAACCATAGTATCACCATAGTAAATATCCAAAAACATGGTGTCACCACAGTAAATGTCCACAACAACCATAGTATCACCATAGTAAATATCCAAAAACATGGTGTTATCACAGTAAATGTCCATAACAACCATAGTATCACCATAGTAAATATCCCAAAACATGGTGTCATCACCGTAAATGTCCACAACAACCATAGTATCACCGTAGTAAATATCCAAAAACATGGTGTCATCACCGTAAATGTCCAAAACAACCATAGTATCACTGTAGTAAATATCCAAAAACATGGTGTCATCACAGTAAATGTCCACAACAACCATAGTATCACCGTAGTAAATATCCAAAGACATGGTGTCACCACAGTAGATGTCCACAACCATAGTATCACCGTAGTAAATATCCAAAGACATGGTGTCACCACAGTAGATGTCCACAACCATAGTATCACCGTAGTAAATATCCAAAGACATGGTGTCACCACAGTAGATGTCCACAACCATAGTATCACCGTAGTAAATATCCAAAAACATGGTGTCAACACAGTAGATGTCCACAGCCACAGTATCGCCATAGTAAATATCCATAAAACATGGTGTCATCACAGTAAATGTCCACAACAACTATAGTATCGCCATAGTAAATATCCAAAAACATGGTGTCACCACAGTAAATGTCCACAACAACCATAGTATCACCATAGTAAATATCCAAAAACATGGTGTCACCACAGTAGATGTCCACAACAACCATAGTATCACCATAGTAAATATCCCAAAACATGGTGTCACCACAGTAAATGTCCACAACAACTATAGTATACCATAGTAAATATCTCAAAACATGGTGTCACCACAGTAAATGTCCACAACAACCATAGTATCACCATAGTAAATATCCATAAAACATGGTGTCACCACAGTAAATGTCCACAACAACCATAGTATCACCATAGTAAATATCCAAAAACATGGTGTCACCACAGTAAATGTCCACAAACATAGTATTACCATAGTAAATATCCAAAAACATGATGTCACCACAGTAAATGTCTACAACAACCGTTGTATTACCATAGTAAAAATCCAAAAACATGATTTTACCATTGTAATGTCCATAAAACATGATGTCACAATAGTAAATTTGAACAAAACATGGTGTTGCCATTATGAATATCCAGAAAACATGGTATTACCATAGTAAATGTCCAAAAATGATTGTGTTTTCATAGTAAATGTTCATAAACATGGTGTTACCATAGTAAATGTCAGTCATATTAACACTCAGAAACCATGTAAAACTGGCTGTAAATGTTGTCGTTTTGTTCCCACAGACAGCGGCATATTCGGCGTTCCTCTCACTACGCTGCTGGAAAACGACCAGAAAAAATACCCTGGTTCCAGAGTTCCTCTGGTTTTCAAGAAGGTACGTTCATCTTTCCTTCTTTGGTTATTAGAAACGAGGCTGGAATGTTGTGATCGAGATTGCGAGCGCTGGCTTTTCTGGAAAGTTCCCAGTCAGCACTTCTCAGGGCTCAGATACTCATCCCTCCCGCATCCTTGGACGGAGCCGCGGCGCACTATCTCACATTATCCTGACCCGACGGCCCACGCTCATCTCCGTTACAGAGGATTTCCAAAAAAACAAAGGCGGTGGCCAGAAGTGCTCTGGTTTGTTTTACGTGCCTGCATTGACCTCGATGCCTCTGTTTTTAAGTGGAATGATGGAGGCCGTTTATTGTTTCACTGGAGAGAGACTTACTGAGGAAACACTTAGAAACAGAGATGGAGGATTAGTATAGATGCTTTAATAAACCTTCAGCAGTGAATCCGCTCACCCTCAGATTCTTCCAGCATTGCAACACCGTCAGTATTTGTGTTGGGTAACTCGAGAGCTGACGGGAAGATACGGAGACCCCCAGCTGGTAGAAACCCCCCACACACAGCTGCATTCTGAACTGAGTCTGACACTCTTATCAATGACTGATAAAGACTCTGTGTGTCTGAATGAGCTGGAATCTCAATCATCTCTGTCAGAAAACAACAGCACACAGACAGACCATTGTAAATGTCCAGAAAACATGGTGTTACCTTAGTAAATATCCAAAAAACATGGTGTTACCATTGTAAATGTCCGGAAAACATGGTGTTACTGTAGTAAATGTCCAGAAGACATGGTGTTACCGCAGTAAATTTCCAGACATAATCAATCTTGCCATTGTGAATATCCAGAAAACATGGTGTTACTTTAGTAAATATCCAAAAAACATGGTGTTACCATTGTAAATGTCCGGAAAACATGCTGTTACTTTAGTAAATATCCAAAAAACATGGTGTTACCATTGTAAATGTCCGGAAAACATGCTGTTACTTTAGTAAATATCCGGAAAACATGGTGTTACTGTAGTAAATGTCCAGAAGACATGGTGTTACCGCAGTAAATTTCCAGACAACATAATCTTGCCATTGTGAATATCCAGAAAACATGTTGTTACCATAGTAAATGTCCACAAAACATGGTGTTACTTTAGTAAATATCCAAAAAACATGGTGTTACCATAGTAAATGTCCACAAAACATGGTGTTACTTTAGTAAATATCCAAAAAACACGGTGTTACCATTGTAAATGTCCACAAAACGTGGTGTTAGCTTAGTAAATATAAAAAAAAACATGGTGTTACCATAGTAAATGTCCACAAAACATGGTGTTACTTTAGTAAATATCCAAAAAACATGGTGTTACCATTGTAAATGTCCACAAAACATGGTGTTACTTTAGTAAATATCCAAAAAACATGGTGTTACCATTGTAAATGTCCACAAAACATGGTGTTACTTTAGTAAATATCCAAAAAACATGGTGTTACCATTGTAAATGTCCAGAAAACATGATGTTACCATAGTAAATTTCTAGAAAACATGGTGTTACTGCGATAAATATCCAAAAAACATGGTGTTACCATTGTAAATGTCCACAAAACATGGTGTTAGCTTAGTAAATATACAAAAAACATGGTGTTACCATAGTAAATGTCCAGAAAACATGATGTTACCATAGTAAATTTCCAGAAAACATGGTGTTACTGCGGTAAATGTCCAAAAAACATGGTATTGCCGTACAAAACATCTAGAAAACATGTTGCCATTGTGAATACCAAGAACACATGGTGTTCTTAGTAAATGTCCAGAAAACATGGTTTCACCATAGTAAAAGCCATGCTAATACCCAGAACGTGTGTTTTTGAATCTCATGTGATGATGGTGTTTGTGTTTTCAGTTGTTGTCTAAACTGGAGCAGACGGGCTTACAGACAGAGGGGATTCTCAGGGTTCCGGGATCAGCGTCCAGAGTGAAGGTAAATAGATCCAGATCTACAGCATCGTTCACACAGCAGAGATCAGCGTGATGAACACGGCCTGCTCCAGGATTTGTGCTGTTGGCGAGTTTTGCCTCATGTGACTGTGACACATCCGTAAAGCATCTGACCTGGATTTCTCCCACTGATTCCAGCTTTAATTCCACAGTCCTCAGCGTTATTCATCCATGAGTGACGAACAGCAGCTCAGGATGAGAGCAATGAAGTTACAGTCAAATCACACTCATATTGTGCGAGACGTGCTGGTGCTAAAAGAGAGTTAATAACACTTCATTATAATTGAGGGGAAGCTGGTGCTCATGATGTCGGTTTCTGTGTTTGTCCTCCTCAGCACCTGCGTCAGGAGCTGGAGCTGAAGTTCTACGAGGATCGTTTCGACTGGGATCAGGTGCGTCAGAACGACGCGGCGGGTTTGTTGAAGATGTTCATCCGCGAGCTGCCGTATCCTCTGCTGACTCAACAGCACCTGCCGGCGTTCACGGCCGCTCAGAGTGAGTCTGAACATCCATATCTGCATCTCTTCACTGACTGTTCAGAGTCACGTCTCTCATCTCTCCGTCTGTCAGGTATCTCATCACCCAAACATCAGATTCAGGCTCTTCATCTTCTCATCATGCTGCTTCCTGAAGCCAACAGAGACACACTGAAGGTCTGTTCATCTCATCACGCTCTCAAACGCTTTCTGAAGATGATGTGATGTGACTAAATAACTATACTTTAAGGCAGCAGTTCTCAAGCTTCTCAAAGACAATATTTGAACACCCTCCGAGATATTTCAAACTTGTTATTTAGAGAAACTAGGAGTGGTGATGCATTAAAATAAATACATAAAATTATGATAATTAGAATAATTAAATTTCATAATTCTAGTAACTGTAGATTTTGTACAGAAAGGGTTATTATAGTTAACTAAAACTCAAACCATAAAAAATTCCGTTACTTGAAGAAAAAAAAAGTTAACTGAAATAAAATATAAATAAATTACACTTATTTTGAGCTAGTTGCCAAAGCATCAGTTTTAGTTTTCATTTAGTTACTTGATGTACTAAAATAACTAAAACTGAATTAAAATTATATTGACATAAAAAAACTTGACAAAACAACAAAATTAATAAAAATTTTAAATTAAGTTAGAATTAAAATTAAAACAGAAAATGCAAAAAATATAACTAATTTAACATTAAACTATAATAGTATCTCAGTGATACTAAAACAACACTGGTTCACCATTTTTACTTTTCATTATCAATGAATTTACTTTTTTTTGTAATTTACAATTACTTTTTTAGTTTGTGAGATTACAGGTTTTTAAAATGACTTTTTCGCTCACAAATAGCCATTTTGACTCAATAAAATATTATAGAGCTTGACAAAATGTGTGTATATATTTTATATTTTGTATACAGTTTATCTACTTTGTTCAAGATCATGAGAACCTGGTTCTTAAATGAAAATTAATTAAATGATAATAAACAAGATATATGATTTTGGCTCACATCTTTTTTAGCTGTTTTAGTCTATTTAAATCTTGCTTTAAGTCATTTTAAGCCATCTTTTGGCCCCCTTGGGAGTGCACTGAGGGCCCTTGTGGGTCCCGGACCCCTGCTTGAGAAAAATGTGTCCTCAGAGATGAGCTAAATCTGACAAAACCTCCATCTGGGGATGTCCTCGTCTGAATGCAGGTGGTTTTCTGTGCTTATAGTATGTATAATTTCCTATGTATGGAATGTCCCTATGTAGATAGTTGAGTAAACATGTGTGGGTGAAGTATTCAAAGGAAGTTGATGAACCGGTCGGACAAATCTGTGATGACACACGCAGTCTCTCCGGTGCCAGAATACAGAGAATCAGGCTGGTTTGACGTCATGCGTTTGGTGCCCATATTCTCATGTGGAGATTCAGCGCTGATTCAGTTTAATCTGTGTGCTGAAATCAGCTGAAAATGCAGTGCAGAGCTCGTACAGCAGAGCGTGACGCCAGCAACGCCAAGGTCACGGGTTCGACTCCCAAGGAACGAATAAACATTGAATACAACGAGAGTCGAATGAATGCGTGTAAACGTGACTGGTTCCAGTGAAGTCACACGGCACTTCCTGTTTGGAGTTTGTCAGAATTTCCTCTCTAGTAATATAAAACCGGCCCGCAGGTCATCGTGGCTGATGTTTGCCGTTTGTTCACTGCACGGTGTTTGTTCTCAGGCTCTTCTGGAGTTCCTCAGAAAGGTGGTGGCGTACGAGGAGAAGAACCGCATGAGTCTGTGGAACGTCTCCATGATCGTCGCGCCGAACCTCTTCACGTTTCGCGGGAAGAACGTCAAACAGGAGGAGATGCAGGGTGCGGTCGCTGCGGCCCAGCTCGTGCGTCTCCTCATTACCCATCAGGACCTGCTGTGGACGGTGAGCACCTGCAACATCAGCGACTTCATCAGCGGTGCTCATGAATATTAATGAGGTGTCTTGGCTGATTGGCTGACATTGGTAAACGTTCATTGTAGGATCATCACAGATCGGTGAAGTCGGTATTTTCTGCGTCTTTGGGACTGACATCTGCTCTTTACTAAAATAACTAAATCTTAATCAAATATATTTTTAAAAATAACTAAATATTAAAATAATAATTTAACCCCTTAACTGTCACCGTCCTGCTAGTTTTCTTCAATATATTACAATTAAATCCTAATCTAATCATGACAAACTATATATCGTTGGAAAGGTCCAAGACTCCTAAATTGATATTTTACCACTGTTTGTTGTTAAAAAATGATGTAGGAGCAGTAATACATTAATTTATGACAAGAGTGCACCTCAAAACATATACAGTGGGTACGGAAAGCACTGTGAGCTGTAAGGTCTTATATAGACAGGTGTGTGGCTTTCCTAATCAAGTCCAATCAGTATAATCAAACACAGCTGGACTCAAATGAAGGTGTAGAACCATCTCAAGGATGATCAGAAGAAATGGACAGCACCTGAGTTAAATATATGAGTGTCACAGCAAAGGGTCTGAATACTTAGGACCATGTGATATTTCAGTTTTTCTTTTTTAATAAATCTGCAAAAATGTCAACGATTCTGTGTTTTTCTGTCAATATGGGGTGCTGTGTGTACATTAATGAGGAAAAAAAATTAACTTAAATGATTTTAGCAAATGGCTGCAATATAACAAAGAGTGAAAAATTGAAGGGGTCTGAATACTTTCCGTACCCACTGTACATCATAACATCATAACAATACATCTGACCTTTGTCACAAAAATTCTATTTGTTTCCTTTTTTTCCGATCACATGTTTTAGTAATCATCATATATTATATATCATTTGAAAGCTTAAAATCCTCAGAATTCATCCTGTGAAAACCGTTTTGAAATCGGACATTGCATTACCATAGAAATGGACCTTAAAATCTTTTAGCGGGCTCCTCCCCCTTAGTGCGGGGTGTCATATTACAAAATGTATTATGGTCTTTTGGAATAAAAACTTATTAGAATCTTGACAAAATACATATCGTCAGAAAGGTTATTTTGTGATAGGAGTAATACTGAGAGAGAAATGTATACATTTGTGACAGAAAAATGCATCAAAACAATTCAATGTGGTTTGTATGGCACCCGGTGGCTGTTTGTGGTATAACGCCTAAACTAAATTGCATAGTAACCTCACATTTTTTTTTTTATATCAACTTCAAATTTGGAACACAACTTATTTTAAACATATGGCTTTAATTTTATGCCAAATTTGGTTTAAAACCTATTTTGTAAAATATTTATTTTATACAAAATAAAATAAAAATAGTACAGTAGTACATATTATTTACAGTAAATGTAAACTTCTATAACTTTTTTTTACTTTCATTTTTTTAAAAATGAGTTCACTTCTGCAATAATCTGCTGAATGTCGTCTTTAAAGAGACCAACCTTAGGCCTGTATTCAAAAGCGTTAATGAATTATAACAATTTAAGTTTGAATAGTGCACTTTCAAGTCAATGTTCAAAAAAAAGGGGGGGGGGTGACAGTTAAGAGGTTAAATATTACAAATATTTAAAAAGTAATATTATAATAAAAACTACATAGTAAAAACATAACTAATAAAATGACAGAAACACAGCAACATTTCTAAAACCTTAAGTAAAATTACAGTGAAAACAGAAAATGCAAAAAGAAAAATAATAATAATATTACTACTGTAATAGTATCGCAGTGTTAACACTAAAATAACACTGGTTCCCTGTTTATCTTTTATCACCAAAGCATTTACATGACTTCTCAAAATTGCTTTTTACTCACATATACTATTTCTATAATCTATCTAAAAATGTAAACAAATGAAGATACATTTCTTAATTTCCATGACTTTTCCTGTGCTTATGAATATTAATGAGGTGTCTTAGCCAGTGGCGGAGCCAGGATGTTTTCATAGGGGTGGCCAGGGAGGGGCTTCATTATTATTTTAATATAAAAATGTGTTTGACTATAAACTACTAGACTATTTTAGTGCCTAAAACACAACTGAATACAATTAATTTCTTCTTAATTGTGATTGAGATATTTGTGAATTATTATATCAAGTAATACTGAGTGAATATGACAATTTTTGTGTTATTCCTCACTTCCAGGTATTTAAATAAAAGGGCTCACTATAGCTTTATTGCTCAGTCAGCTATTTTATGCATTTAAATGGTTTCACTTTCGTTTGTACTTTTCAAATTAATGAAAAAAATTGCGCATATTTTCTAGTATAAGTGCATTGTGCTCAATTACTTGTGCATTAAATTACAAATAAAAAAATGCATATCAGCTTGCGCCTTATATTGTGATCTGGAATTGCAGAATATATTTTAGTACATGCATTTGAGAGACATGCATGCACGGTTTGCAGCTTTAATCGCCTTTTTGGTAATTTCATGACTTAACTGACAACAGAACTACGTTGTATTTCTTGTGCGCTTATTTATGATCAGAGCGTGCGCCGCATATTCGCGTACAGTTGAAGTGTGTGTGCTGTGAGCACAGTAAGATGGTTGACAGGACAGGAACGTTTGTTTTACTGATACAGCCTAACAACATCTCATCGTTGTTTTACTGTAGCTCATTTCACTTGCGCCTGGCACTGAGGCGAAACTGAAGTGCGCGTCTGAAAAGTCTCCCGTTTGATGTGGATGCAAAGAAATACGCCGGTTCCACGTCTTAATAAATGCATTTCGTGTCAAGAAAAAGGGGACTGCAGTTTTGAGCAGGGTGTGGCTAAGCTTAGGTCAGTGGTGGCCCTGGCTCCGCCCCTGGTCTTAGCTGATTGGCTGACATCTGTAAACAGGTGACGTTCAAGTCGTTGTTTTCTGCGTCGGTGTGACTGATGTCCGCTCTTCATATCCGCAGGTCCCGTGTTTTCTGATCTCCCACGTCAGGAAAATGAACGAAGCCGCCATGGGCAAGAAAACACCGACTTCAGAGAAAAGCAAACGCAGGCTACTGAAGAGATGGAACACGGAGAAGGAGCGCGAGCGCAGTGAAGTGAGTGCTGATGGGATTGAAGCGGTTCAGATGAGTGTGTAGTGAAGCGGGAGCTACAGGGGTTCATGAGCTGATGAAAATGTTTGGGAATCCCTGGTGTAGCGTAACATTTTGCTGCATGTCACGAACAGTCACTGTGCACATTTCCATGGGGCCATTCACACAGAATTAGTGCTGGGCGGTATATCGAGTTTGTACGATACTATCGCGATACGGTATGAGGCAATACGGTTTATATGGATATACAGTAGTTTGATACGAGTGCATCTGAAAATATAGCGGAGGACACAGACTGAGCTGCTGCGGAGAAAGTGCATAATCCAGTTTGTTCTAAACATGTGACAAGCTTCATATCAAGGCCTTTAAAAACTGGTAAGACTTAGTTTATAGTTTGGTTTGGTATATTAGTTTAAGCGGTTCTGACTGAGACACTAGCTACTCGCGCTGTTTAATGTGTTTGAGATGTGCTGTCTTCCTGAATGCAGAACTTACATTTCACAGCTATATTCTCCGTCTGTAAATGTTAGAAAGCCATGGAAATATTTCCATTTTTCTGTCAGAAGTGCATGAGCTTCTGCTTTGGGATTCTCCGCTAAACTCCACAGACTTCAGTGAACGAGCGCCAAACAGACGGAGCTCAATAAAATAGGAGCGCAGCAATTCTGACTAAAATATACATTTCGCTGAAATATTTGTAGTGGTAATAAAAGAAAAACAGTGAACCTGTGTTATTTTACAGGTAGTTTTTATTTCGCAATTTTTTTGTTTTCACTTTAATTTTAAAGTTTTAGTAATTTTTTTTATTTTGTAATTTTTATTATAGATTTTTAAATGTCTAGTTTTTAATCAACATTTAGTTATTTTAGGAAAGAAAAATGAAGAGCAGACATCTGCTTTAACGATAGAGAGTGTGAAAAATTGAAAATATGAGTTTAAAAGTCGTGATTATTACTTTAAAAGTTGAAATGACATATGTTGAAGTTATGACATATAAAGTCAAAATAATTGACATAAAATGTAGAAACTGACATATTACATCAAAAATATTACTTTAAAAGTCGAAATTGACATGCTAAGTCAAAATTATGCCTAAAAGTTGAAATTATGACATTAAGTCAAAAATATGGCTTCAGTCATAATTGACATTAAAAGTAGAAATTGACATGCCAAGTCAAAATGATAAAAAAACAGCAACAGTCATTTTTTGAGTTTTTTTAAATGTCAACTTTTTGTCATAATTTTGACTTTGTAATAATTGTGACTTTTAACGTCATAATTTCAATTTTTGTCATAATTTAAACTTTTCATCTCATAATTGTTACTTTAAATCAATTATGAAACAAATTTGATTTCAGCTGAATATTGATTGTCTGATTATTGACTGAATATTAAAACCCATGTTTCGTTTAAACGGACAGCATGTGTTAATCTGAAGTCTTGTTGTCTCTAGGCGAGCGCTGCCTGGATCCAGACGCACATTTACTAGACGTTTACCGCGTTAACCCTCACTGTGAATGGGTCTTAAAGTCACGGCTGACCTGAAGGAGTATGTTTACTGCAGAAGACCATCAGCTGCTCCGAGGCTCTCGGTCGGAGGTCAGGGGTCAAACGGTTCAATGCTGGCCATTGTGTTTGTTTGGAGCCAAAACTGTGTGACCTCCCCGATCAGAAGTCCTCATCAGGACGCATGTTTCATCGCTTTATGCCACTAGCCAGTGTATAAAAAGAGCATGTACATAATATTTATACCACTAATTTATCCCGCTGTATGATAATGATTTTGTATTGTTTATATACGCTGCATGTTTGTGATGAAGCCATGTGAACTTAAACACTACGAACCTAGTTTTTAGATTGCAGTGTTAGAATGAGATGTGATTTTAACCCTTTTTTGCACATAATATAAAGGCTTACATGGTTACATTCACTTTATTTGTTTTCATAGCCTTTAATATGTATTGTTTTGTTGGACAACATTGGGCGGTAAGTGAAATACATATATATTAAATACAGATTTTTTAAAATCCAAATACAGAGATATACCGTATACCGCAAATCGGCCCAAAAATACCGAGATATGAATTTTATATGATCGCCCATCCCTACACAGAATGCGGTTTTGTATTCCACTTAATGCAAAATAAATTGAAAAAACGTGTCTCGAGACCGTATCATTTTCCATGTTCTTCGTTTTTGCGTTGGGTGAATGCAAAAAAAAGGTCCTAGACGTTTTATAAAGTTATATTAAACACATGTTCAGCTCATGTTCACATGGAAACTAAATTGCAGGGGAATACAAAAACACGTTCTGTGTGAACGTCTACAAACATCGGCGAGTATGAATCTGTTCAGACGGACTGTAGCTACTCGAACTCGCTGTTAAGGGCCCGTTCACACAGAACGCGTTTCCATGGAAGTACCATGGGGAAAAGAACAAGGTCTCCATACACGTTTCTTAAAAGTGCAAACACGTCTGTCTAGCGCGTTTACATAGAAAACTGGTGGACAAGCAGCGCTGTGAATGAAAAACGCGTGTAAACAGCCGCTAAAGAGATTAACAAATGCTGCTAATTCACTTCAGCTCACTTTACATAATAAGCAGTAAGGACGCCTTGGGCTTCTTGAGGTACGTTATTACAGTATTAAGAGTATCACCAAGTAGAGAGAGTGTGCTGTTACCTGTGTCTATCGAGCGTATTCTCCAGGTCAAGTCAAACATTCACGGTTAAAATCACTTCACGATGTTCGCTGAGGAAATATCTTTGTCGTTTCATCCTTCCAACGGTTAAAAAGATTTAAACATGAGGCGCGGTGAAATGGCGCGTAATTTGATCCAGCGTTTCGCATTGCTCGACGGTTGAGGTGGAATTCAAATAACTACAATAATTAAATTGGAATTAAATAAAATAATAGCGTGAATAATGTCAATACCTTGCTTAGTTCCTAGTTTCCGAGTGAATCGGTTTATTGCTGACCTGAAGGAGTATGTTTACTGCAGAAGACCATCAGCTGCTCCGAGGCTCTCGGTCGGAGGTCAGGGGTCAAACGGTTCAATGCTGGCCATTGTGTTTGTTTGGAGCCAAAACTGTGTGACCTCCCCGATCAGAAGTCCTCATCAGGACGCATGTTTCATCGCTTTATGCCACTAGCCAGTGTATAAAAAGAGCATGTACATAATATTTATACCACTAATTTATCCCGCTGTATGATAATGATTTTGTATTGTTTATATACGCTGCATGTTTGTGATGAAGCCATGTGAACTTAAACACTACGAACCCTCGCTGAACCTGTGAAGAACTCGAGCGGCGCGTATTTCACCCTGAAATCAAAACAATCAAGTCCATAGAGCTTTTTTTTGTTTTTGACATTTGTGACATTTCATGAAAAAAAAATTGTGATTTACTGATTTGGGGAAAATTTTTGTTAACTGTTTTTTGTTACATTTATTTTTACTGTAAAAATGACTTACAGAATTGAGGCTGAGAATCATAATTGAGCATAAATATTGTTCATTAATATTGAACAAAAAAAGTAAAGTGCCCTGATGTATTACAGTAATATATATTTTTATTTAAAAAAAAGATTTTTACAGGAATGCGAATTTGCGTTTGAATGTTTAATTACTAATTTATCCCGCTGTATGATAATGATTTTGTATTGTTTATATACGCTGCATGTTTGTGATGAAGCCATGTGAACTTAAACACTACGAACCCTCGCTGAACCTGTGAAGAACTCGAGCGGCGCGTATTTCACCCTGAAATCAAAACAATCAAGTCCATAGAGCTTTTTTTTGTTTTTGACATTTGTGACATTTCATGAAAAAAAAATTGTGATTTACTGATTCGGGGAAAATATTTGTTAACTGTTTTTTGTTACATTTATTTTTACTGTAAAAATGACTTACAGAATTGAGGCTGAGAATCATAATTGAGCATAAATATTGTTCATTAATATTGAACAAAAAAAGTAAAGTGCCCTGATGTATTACAGTAATATATATTTTTATTTAAAAAAAAAGATTTTTACAGGAATGCGAATTTGCGTTTGAATGTTTAATTCTCATTAAATGTCACAAATACAAAAAAATAAAAAAAAAATACTCAAAGCGAAGTTAAATTAATTTTTGCCGTTTTGGTGTGAAATATGAGCTGGACGTGTTCTTGTGAGATTCATCAACACGGGTCAATATTACCTCTAATTAAACCAGATGAATATTAATGCCAACATCAAACACTAACCGGATTAATGAAGGACTCGAATGAGAATCCAGAAACATAGCGACTCAAATGAAGACAGAAGATCATCCAGATGCTAAACGACCTTTGAACTTTTACCTTGTATCATGTTCTCAATGTCTGCCAATAACACATCTTCATCATCATCATCATCATCATCGTTCTCTTTGATGCTCTGAATTTGATTAGATTTTTTTTTTACTCTAAAAGCTATTTTTATGTATGATGTACTGAAATGTTCACCTGTTAATTATGATTTTTTAATTTGATTTTTATAGTAAGTTCTTGCTGCTGCCAACTGGATTTATGTTGAAGATCATTTATTTTCCTCATGATGTTGGTGTTTTATCATACTGAGCGTTACACTGAAGCGTTTTACAGTCATTTAAAGCCATCAGAACATTACTTTGTAGCCTTGTTTCATCAAAACCAAAAGGAGTCAGCCGAACATGAAGTCTCCGAGTATTACGAGGAACATGTAGCCACATCCTAGACTTCATATCATGACTGTGTACTGCTGAACTGAGACTAGTCATGTTGTAATATTGAGTGAAACCAACTAATCCAATTAAAAGACATGAAACCACCTGCTGTGTGTGAGAGTGTGTGTGTGTGTGTGAGTGAGTGAGTGTGTGTGTGAGAGAATGTGTGAGGGAGTGTGCGTGTGTGAGTGTGTGTGTGTGAGCGTGTGCGTGAGTGTGTGTGAGAGAATGTGTGTGTGTGTCAGTGTGTGTGTGTCAGTTCTCTTTGACTGAATCTCAGGATCAGGGCTCTGGAATGTTCCACAATCTTCCTGATAGTGAAGGAATGTCGAAGAGGTGAACTTTCATCACCAGTAAAACAAGCAAAACACTCTGCTATGAAACAACCAGCACTTTATTAACGAGCAGGGTTTCTGCAGGCCGTATGAGGGCACATACAAGACCCAGTACAGAAGAGGACAGTGAGATTTATTAGCAACACTTCAGCATTTATTAACAATTTACAACAGATCTCCATTACTTTAATTCATTTTACAAAAAAACAACTCCGCTGTCAAACACTAGAATATGGAATTGACCTTTACACAGTTCTTCCTCACTGTTTGTGTTTTTTTCCAGTGCAAATTATTCTTAAAATCAAGATACATTTACTTGAGAAGCAAAATGACATAAGATACAGGGATTAAAGTGTTCCGTCGCTACGACGGATTTCTGTCAGTTCATAAAGAGAGTCACTTGCTTCATTCCTGAATGATTCAGCCGTTCGAACGAATCAATTGAATGAATGATTCAGTGATAAAATCAGTGACTTGCCGCCACCTGCTGGTGGATTTAGTTTCTTTTTTAGCGATTCAGTGATAAAATCAGTGACTTGCCGCCACCTGCTGGTGGATTTAGTTTCATTTTTAGCCTATAATTAGTTATTTTATTAGCTGACATTTGACTCCTTAAAGTGACTTTCAGGAGTATTTTCTTTTTACCTTTATAATGGCATCATTTTCATCTGTCAAATTCAAAAATGTATGTTTATAAGCTTTTTAAAAGTTCTATTTAAAACAATATAATAAGAAGTAGAATAAGACAAATAAGTCACCAATCATATGAAATTAGTATTAATAAATTAATTTGTACTCCAGAGGTGGCACAGAAGAACACAAACGTGGCTTGTAGGTACATTTCCAGACGTTTAATGAGGCTCAGAGGTGGTTTGAGTGCAATTAAATCCATACATTCATGTGGAGATTAATGTTTTAAATATAACATTTTGAATACAGAAATATGATTCAAATAACTGTAATTATACGCAGGTGGCGGCAAGTCACTGATTTTATCACTGAATCATTCATTCAATTGATTCGTTCGAACGGATGAATCATTCAGGAATGAAGCAAGTGACTCTCTTTATGAACTGACAGAAATCCGTCGTAGCGACGGAACACTTTAATCCCTGTATCTTATGTCATTTTGCTTCTCAAGTAAATGTATCTTGATTTAAAGATGTTTAGATATTTGTACTGGAAAACATTTCATTTTTATTTTCCAGTGCATGCAACACTTAATGCCACGACTTAATGAATTTAAGACTCTCTGCTCTGATTTAACACCTTTTTAAGGCCTTCATCTGTGAAAGGGTGAATTAAGACCCGCAGAAACCCTGAACAAGTATCAAATCTAAACCTGTTATGAGTCAAAATTCACAAACCATCTGCAGAACTATTAAAACCATCCTCAGTACAAAAGGATTGAGCTGTGTTTGCATGAACCGGAGGTGTTTACGCAGCGTTATCCGGGCAGGAGTGAGGGAAGACGTGTGGGTGAGCGAAGGCGGCGCTGAAGTCCAGCTCATCGGTGACGTGACCCTTAAAGACGCGCAGGTTCCTCATGCAGCCGCGGAACGGCTCTCTGGAGCTCAGACAGTTCTGCTTCACGTCCGCTGCGAGAGAACACAGAAACACTGATCAGATCCACCGTCACGTCAGCTGCATTCACATCAGTGCCGTTATCGTTAATAACTAATGAACAACAGGCTCATGGTGAGTGCACAGGATTATGGGAGCCGTACCTGGGTATCCGCCCACATAGATGGGGTTTTTGGTCTCGGCTGAGGTGGAGGATGAGTACGGGTTCTCTGCGGTCACCGTCACACCGTCTACGGTCAGACTCAAGCTGTGCTTCTGCTTCTTGGCCACCAGGGTGCGCCAGCGGCCGTCACACATGGACACAGCGCTCCTGCTGCTCGCCGTGATCCAGCCCGCGCCGTTATTCACATTAAACACCACCTGTGACGGGACGAGCGCGCTATTAACCATCAGCACACACTGGAAATCACATGAGGGGCCAACCAATGATAAAAACAATGGACCAGAGTGACTGTTAACTAAACTGAAACCATAAAAAAAGAAAAAAAATCATAACTTTAAATGAAATGTGACCCTGGAGCACAAAACCAGTCATAAGGGTCAATTTTCTGAAATTGAGATGTATGCATCATCTGAAAGCTGAATAAATAAGCTTTCCATTGATGTATGGTTTGTTAGGATAGGACAATATTTGAAAATCTGGAATCTGAGGGTGCAAAAAAATCTAAATATTGAGAAAATCATCTTTAAAGTTGTCCAAATGAAGTTCTTAGCAATACATATTACTAATCAAAAATTAAGTTTTGATATATTTACGGTAGGAAGTTTACTAAATATCTTCATGGAACATGATCTTTACTTAATATCCTAATGATTTTTGGCATAAAAGAAAAATGTATAATTTTGACCCATACAATGTATTGTTGGCTATTGCTACAAATATACCCCAGCGACTTAACACTGCTTTTGTGCTCCAGGGTCACGAATAAAGATAAAAAATGTGAATCTTATTTCAGCTATATTTCTCTTTTTTGTTTAGTTTAAATTGACACATTAAAATAACTAAAACTCATAAAAAAAACTAAATAATAATAGTACATAAAAATGAATAAATACTATATAGACAAATTGCATAAAATAACAAGTACATAACTAAACTAAAAGTAAAAAAATTATAAATAAAATTAAAATATTATGTAGACAAATTGCATAAAATAAGTAAACTGCATAAAAACAACTAAACAAATAAAACCTGGCAAATAAAAATGAATAAATGCTATACAGACAAATTAAAAGATACATAAAAAGATAAATGCATAAAATAACTAAAACTTAATCAAATAAACCTAATAAATACAATATGGATTGCATCAAATAACTAAACATAGTAAATAAAAATAATAAAACATACTATATAGACAAATTGCATCAAATAAATAAATTGCATAAAAATTTAAATTAAACCTAGTAAATAAAAATACAAAAATACTATATAGACAAATTGCATAAAAAACAAAATGCATAACTAAAATACATAAAATAACCAAATAAAAAATACTATATAGACAATATTGTGTATATATAAAATAAACTAAATAAACTAAATATATTAAATACTATATAGACAAATTGCAAAAAATCAAAATGCATAACTAAAATACATAAAATAACAAAATAAAAATACTATATAGACAATATTGTATATATAAAATAACAAACTAAATAAAATAAATATATTAAATACTATATAGACAAATTGCATAAATAAATAAAATGCATAAAATAATTAAAACTAAAAAAACTAATAAATTAAAAAAAAAAAATACTATACTGATACATGTAAAAAAAATAATGAAAATTATAAAATTACTAAAACTTAAAAATTAAAACGAAAACAGAAATATATATATATATATATACACACACAGTATATAAAAACTAATTCACAATATGAACAGATTTACAGCAGTATATGAATGTTACTAAATGAACACTGGTGGTGTCTTCGGCACACAGAGAAGGTGTTGGTGATATTAACCTGTCCGTTGACGAGCTCCAGGCCGATGGCGTCCACTTTAGTGCTGCTGATTCCCAACAGAACCCCATCCGGCGCCGTGGAGCGGAAGTCCAGACTCACGGAGACGTCCGAGCCCACGTTATAGCCCTCTTTCACTGCGGAGAGAGCGAGACGTCAGCCTCTGTTTGAACACTCATCATTCATCATCAGTGTCAGACTCACTGAAAGCGGCGTATCCGCTGCCGCTGAAGAAGCTGCCGCTCTGAGCGCGTCTGAAGCAGGAGCCCGCGGCGTGAGACGACAGCGCAGCGCTGAGCTTCATCTGGACGCCGCTGAACATCACGTCCCGCAGACACGCCGCCAGACTGTGTGTCACCTGAAGAACCACAGGTTAGAAACATTTCTGCAGGGTTCCCGCACGTTGGTTAACTTAAAATTCAAAGACCTTTCAAGGACTTTCCAGGTCCAAAAAAACCCTCAAATACAAGGACTTAATGTGGGACACATTTCAAGTGAGAGCAATCGTGTTACCTTGTAAGATACATTGTTACAGTTTTCATGTGATATTTATTTGTCGTATTTCTGTTTTGCATAAAACTGAAGAATATTCGGTACATCCTATACTGTATTCTAAAATGATCTGATATTAACTTTTGCATGGGTTTTATTGAAAAGAGCTTCGGCTCATGTAACCAGAAGTTTTAAGATGTATGAATATGCTTTTAAGTTTTTCTTGCCTCATGGGTTAACATTATCTAAACAAGCAAACATTAATTTCACGGTGTGTCTGTGAAACGTTAAGGTACCATTGTAGTAGTTTAACACGCGCGTGAACGTCATGGCAACGTACAACTATGGCAAGCCAAAAAAGTCAGAAGTACGCTATAGATAAATCGCGTTTACATACAAAACGCCGTTAAAAGAGCGCCGTCAAATACGTCGTCCTGATAGCAGACGCCGTAAAAAACACTGTATTTAACGACATAAATTTAATTCTGACTCTTTTGGCTTGCCATATGCAACACAAAGTATCTCACGCGGGAAACAGTTAACGTAACGTGTAAAACGCGCGTTTCAAGGACCCGTGGGAACCCTGTTTCTGACACGTTTATTGAGAACGACAGGTTTGGTGGAGGGCAATTACGTTTCCGATTCTCCTGGCGGTGTATGTGGCAGGAAGTCCGCCGAGGTACAACTTCCCCTCCACGTCTAGCGTGTGTCCTTTAGTGTGTTTGCGGTCCGATTCGGTCCCGTCCACACTGACCATCACCATCTTCTTACTGAACTCGGCCTTCACCTGCACAAACACAGCAGACATCAGTGTTTAACCCTATAAAGCTACTGCATCATATTTGATATGTATTGTTGGCTATTGCTACAAATATACCCCAGCGACTTAACACTGCTTTTGTGCTCCAGGGTCACATTTAATAAAGTAAGCTTAAGAAGCATCAGAATTGTATCATATAAATAGCAGCATCTGCACCAAGTTCATATTTTTGCTCAGTTTGAATAAAACTGAGCTGTTTTTTCCTCTATATAAAAGGCATAAAAGCTTGATGCATCAGATATGATGCTCTGCAAAATACATACACACTTTAATTTTTATCTACAGGTTCAATAAAGATGTATTATTTCATTTGTCAGGTTGTGCACAGGACTCACGGTGTGCCAGAGGCCGTTGTTGATGGGCGTGGCCAGCGAGGCGTGGGCGGGGCCTTTCCCCAGGTCACATGACAGCAGCACACGCCCCCCCTGCACCTGCAGAACGGCGTAATCCTGCTGGTTTGCATTGGCCATGTAGAAGAGAACGCCGCTGCGAGCGAACGTCCGAACCGACAGCTTCACCGCAAAACTGAGACGAGGAACACAAAGAAGCATTAAATTATTAGGGAAGATCTGTCTGTGAGTGTCTGTCACAGTCAACAACTTTCAGCTGCAAAATGTCTGGGATATGTGAGTATTTAAAATAAATATAGAAGGTACATGTAGGTATGAAATATTTAATTTAATATATTTTATAATATATTTAAATATTTATCATTTATCTATTTATAAATATTACAAAAATAATAAAATATGGGACAAAATATATACAATCAAATATTTAAAAATATTA